ACTCTTGTGGGACACTCTTCTAGGACACTCTTGTGGGACACTCTTGTAGAACACTCTTGTGGGACAGTCTTGTCGGACACTCTTGTGGGACACTCTTGTGGGACACTCTTGTAGGAGTCGCCAGTGCTCGCCTGCACTTCGCGCGCTCGACACGCACGATCTCCGCACGACGCGCACGATCTCCGCAGAGGGTTGCGCGGGCACCGGACAAATCGCACTCTCGCCTGCATTTCGCGCACTCGACTCGCACGATCTCCGCAGAGGGTTGCGTGCGCATGGGGCAAATCGCACTCTCGCCTGCGTTTCGCGCACTCGACACGCACGATCTCCGCAGAGGGTTGCGCGCGCATGAGTCAAATCGCACTCTCGGAGCACACACATCACGCAGCCCTGCCAAGCAGTTTCGCGATTCCAGCCCCTCCAAACAACATCCGCTCACGCGCCAATCCCAATGTGACAGCGACATTCACCTCTACCACAACTCACAACCTCACGATTCCCTGCGCCTGCCACGAATCTTTCCCCATCCACACGTCTAACGCGCACAAATTACTGCGCCTGCCACGAAATGTCACCTCCCTCACACCTCGCAACCTCACGATTCCCTGCGCCTGCCACGAGAATCGCACTTCCACGCCTCAAAACCCGCACGAAGTCCTGCGCCTGCCACGAAAAGTGACAATATCATCGCATGTGGGCTTCAACAAGATTTGCACCACACCACACGTTTGGAATGATTTCGACCCGTTCAGAGCACACTCCCACCCACCAAAATCATCCAAAATCGCCATTTCAGCTGAGACTTGTCACGAAAACCGAGCTTCGATGCCACACCCTGAAACGCAAATCTCAATGGCACGGCCACATCCAACACCCCAAAAACACGACTCTCCAAACGCTAATCCCAATGGCACTGCACAGCAAACTGCGGATCTCACAAAACGCTGCGCCTGTGCAGCGAAATGCATCACGTTTCTTGCGCGACATGTCGGTGTCATGCAAATCACAATGGAATAGCGGCGCAAACTGACACGTGACACATCCATGAAAGTCACTTGCAAAAGCTTCCCCCAATGGCAGCAAATTTGAGACGCGACGACGACGACACGACGACGACAGACGACGAGAGACGACGAGAGACGACGACAAACGACGACAAACGACGACACGACGCAAGCCATGCAAACACAGCTCCAACCCCCAGACCCCCAATTATAAACGGGAACCCTTCGCTACGCATTCGGGAAAAACGTGAACATAAACACTGAAAAGCCAAACAGGGACCTCTTCAAAACAGGCCAAGAAAGAACCCTAAAGCCTAAAACATGTCAACAAAATCTAAAGGAGGTCAGGTCAAGAAAGAAGTTCTGAAGATGTCCGAAGTGGATAAAAAGAACGGCAAAAAGAGCCCTGCACCTGACAACCAAAAAACCAATGACGGGCGGAAACACACACACACACATGCGTGCATTGGGGAATAAACCCAATTCATGCCGCAGGAACCACAGAAGGTTTGCCAATTGAACCGTCGAGTTCGGAACCGGATTCCGGCTCGACGGAGTCGTGCAGTCAGTCGGTCAATGATATCAGGCAAAGATGTCCGTCGACCTTCGCAAAGGTTTCTTCTCACAGAGGTGTTACCACATGATTTTTGCTGCCGCCCCGCTATATATCGATTGGCTCAGTTTAGGCATGTAATTTTTAATGTTTGTGCTGCGTGCGTCCTGTGCATTGACCCCATGGCCAACATGCTCGTTCCCTCGGCGCCATCACATCCTAAACCCAATGCACGACGTCCAAGTTGTGGTGGCCGACAGCTGGTTACGCCAGAAGGGAACCCAACGAGTGCAAAAGAGAGAATTCCCTCCCTCAGTGAGCTGCTGGATGGCACAAGAGCAAGCAGGCGTTCTCTATGAGTTTGTTTCATTTATCAGGGCAAAACGAACGGGGTATGCAAGAAGCACATGTGGATTGTTTGGGTACCCCTTAGGTTTTGCATTTCATTTATATAAGTAAACTATGGAGATGTGTCCACATTCTTTGCCAAGGCTTGTGATGCAGCAGCAGCAGAAACGTCGAGTGACCGATCGTCTATGGGGTGATGCTTTGACATGGAGCCGACAAACGACGCCCGAGTCAGAGCCGGACCTGGCGGAGTTTGAGTTCCTCTTCGCGCCAAGGGAGACATCAGGAAAGCCCGCCGGTGATCGAAGTCGGGGAGAGCAATAAGAATGGGAGAGACCAATTGGCAGTTGAATTTCATTTGTGTTATTTTGTGCTCTTTGTTGTCTATTTTAACGTTTGAAACGCGGAAGTTCACCAGGTTTGTTCATGTTTGTTCCAGATTCTTTACACTGCTTGTTGGGATACTCCCCATCGATTGCAATGAACATGGCATGGCGGATTCATCATGAGTCATGACCGCTTGTGGCACATGAGCATTGTTTCATTCACAAGGTCAGCATGGTTCCAGCTAGCAGGTCGTGAAGGATCAGTCGCTGCACCAGGATCAGTCGCCCGGTTTTTGGATGTCCACGTCAGCGATCTAAGTGGGTCAAACATCGATTCAGCCAAGACGATGGCGAACGCCGCCCTGCCAGGAGGTCGGGCGAAATAAAGCTCCATTCAGCCGACGATGGGTTCGTGAGTTTGCGAAGGAACGAACTGCTTTGTGTCGATTCCACGCTTTGCGCTGGCTTCTGAAGGTTGTCAACTATTATAAGCCACTGAAACAAGCACGTGATATATATAACACACACCCATTATCATCCATTTACACCTCTTCGACTCTGAGGACATGACGACATGACATAAAGTTCTTATTGACACCGAAAAACGTCAATGGCGCAATGGCGATCTGACAGTCCATGATGTTTCTGGAAGTGGTCGAGCGATACCAACACACCTCGTTCGAACCTAAACAGGTGCTCCCTGCCCTGCAATCGTTGGAGTACAGACGCAAGTTGTGTTCCACTCCCGCCAATAGCCACTGTCCAGTTTGCTCTTTGGAAGACACAACCGGTCCATGGGGACGCATCCGGTACTCGTACATATTTTCAGAATAGAATACTTAAGTATCAATGAAAGAACTTCAGAAGCAAGGTTTGCCAAACTTCTTAAGTAGTCTACTGATCCTGTGTCCAATGCTCACGGAGCGCAATGCCCTGTGGGTGCCGCACAACCCTATGATATTGGAGGCCACAAGCTGGCCACAGATTGAATCACCACATGAGCTACTAGTCACTAGAGATCGTGAGCATTGGACCACATTCCGTTCCAGTCTCTTGATCTCGATTATGATTCGGAATCAGGAGGCATCATGCAGATGGCATGAACGCTGAAAGGTCCGACCGGACCTATCATATTCTAGTCGCCTCGAGCCTTCCGGATGCCCTCCACGTACGCCTGATAGGCTGTTGTGGTTTGGGCTCAGGAGAGTCTCTCGCTGACTATCCACCCTGAATGATTGTCCAGCCTGCGTTTTTGAGGCATGTCTTTCCAAAACTGCGCCTATCGCTGATATGACGAGCGGCAAGAGCACCAGGGCCGTGAAGTTTAGAGTCTCCAAGGCCTTGGGACGGAGCAGAGTGGATCCCACATGGATAAAACATGGATGAATCCATAATATGAATCCCACTGGTTGTGCAGAGCTTAGAGACTATGAAGACGCAGAGTGAGATGTTGTCGTTTTGAGACCGTTGGGAGACCGGTTCTTTGAGCCCAATTTGTACAGTGATCGTTGGTGATCACATTTCACTCATCTCCGAGGTGCAAGACGGAAAAGATGGGACGGGGCGAATGACTTGTGAAGTGATATAAGTGGTCCATCAGTGGTGCAAATGGAAAGTGAGGCGGTTTTCTTTTTGACCAATGCTGGTGGAGCTGAGTTAAAACAAAAAGACTCAGACGCTGTAAGTCGATTCATTTCTGATCACGAAAGGTAGCGGTTACGCTACCTGAGTTTTCCTTTTGCTTTAGCAAAAATGTATTAACCCAGAGCTGCAGCCTATCTCTCGGAGAAATGGTCCCCGACATCTTCGTTTGCTGGCCGG